CCACACTCTTACGCAGAGGCGATGGCCGGTCCCTACTCCTCTCAGTGGCAGTCAGCCATGGACACAGAGATGGCTTCCTCGAAGTCCACAGGCACCTACGTCGACGACGTTCCCCCACCTGGGGCGAACATCGTCAGTGGCATGTGGATTTTCAGGGTGAAGCGGCCGCCAAGCTCTCCGCCTGTCTTCAAGGCGCGTTACGTTGCACGAGGCTTCAGTCAGCGAGAGGGAGTTGACTTCTTCCAGACCTTCTCCCCGACACCGAAGATGACCACTCTTCGGGTTCTGCTACACGTCGCCGCTCAGCGTGACTACGAGCTCCACTCTCTTGACTTCAGCACAGCTTTCTTGCAGGGCAGCCTGCACGAGGAGATCTGGCTGCGCCGTCCACCTGGCTTCACTGGGTCGTTCCCTCCTGGCACCCAGTGGAGCCTCCGGCGGCCAGTCTACGGTCTCCGCCAGGCGCCGCGTGAGTGGCACGACACACTGAGGACTACACTTGCGGCTCTTGGGTTTGCTCCTTCTACTGCTGACCCGTCGCTGTTTCTGCGCACCGACACCTCGCTGCCGCCGTTCTACATCCTCGTGTACGTCGACGACTTGGTCTTTGCCACTGCGGACACTGCCGCACTCGCCCACGTGAAGTCCGAGCTGCAGAAGAGACACACGTGCACAGACCTGGGTGAACTGACAAGCTATCTTGGCTTGCGGATCACCCGGGACAGAGCACGCCGCACCATTACCCTGACTCAGTCACACATGGTGCAGCAGGTCCTTCAGCGCTTCGGCTTCACGTACTCCTCGCCTCAGTCCACTCCTCTGCCTACGGGTCACTCGCTCTCAGCTGTGCCTTCGGATGAGTCCGTAGAGTCGAGTGGTCCGTATCCAGAGCTTGTGGGCTGCCTCATGTACCTGATGACCTGCACTCGACCTGACCTAGCATACCCTCTCAGCATCTTAGCACGCTATGTTGCTCCCGGCCGTCACCGGAAGGAGCACATGGATGCAGCTAAGAGGGTGTTGCGCTACTTGTGCACTACGTCGAGCATGGGGCTAGTGCTTGGAGGGTGAGACCGGCCTGTTCTCACTGGGCACTCAGACGCTTCTTGGGCAGACGACCAGGCTACTCAGCGGTCGTCTCAGGGTTACACCTTCAGTCTTGGCTCTGGCTCTGTCTCTTGGCGTTCTACTCGTTCTTCTTCTGTTCTCAGCTCCAGCTGTGAGGCTGAGATCTACGCCACGGCCATGGCTGCCCAGGAGCTTCGCTGGCTCACCTACCTGTTGACTGACCTTGGAGAGCAGCCTCGTTCTCCTCCAGTGCTGTACGTCGACAACAAGGCAACCATTGCCTTGTGCCAGGAGCACAGACTGGAGCACAGGACGAAGCACATTGCTCTGTGTTACTTTCTAGCTCGAGAGCTACAGCAGCGTGGTCAGCTTCTTCTGCGTTACGTGGCCACTGAGGCCAACACTGCTGATGTGTTCACCAAGGCGCTTCCGCCTGTTGACCATCAGCGTTTTTGCACTCTTCTAGGCCTTGTGCCGACTGTTTCTCACTTACTTACTTCTTGACTTTACCTGTACTGTGATCATTATATATATACCTGCATGTTTGCCTTGTTAGGTTGTGATCATTGTACCTCTTGCTCTATTATAAAACTGCATGTGAACTGGTCTTGTGACCGCTTGCTTGTGCTCGGAATTTGTGTGGAATCCTCGAGATCCACCCTGAGCTTGTTTGCCTTGTTTTGCCTTGACTGGTCTTGTGACCCCTGGGTCTCCCCCACTTTGCCTATGGGGGTGTGTGAAACATTATATGTTTGTGTGGTTCTAGGCTGTAGTGGGTCACACCATAAGGGGTACACCAGATTAGGGTTTGACATATTTGTACTGTTGTTCCTGCTAGTCACTCCTCATTCTCGTTTCTCATTCTGACACATCGTGGCCGCAGATCTCGCTGTAGAATTTCCCCAGATGGCTTCGAAGTAAACCGTAAACCGCTGAAACAGCTGGCGAGCGGATGTTCACCCGTCTCCCACCGTTGGAATAAAACACCGAAAATCATGGTTGTTGAAGCAGTCTCGAAGTATTTTCCACCGCGTAACCCTGACGCTTCCGCCGTTAACCCTGGTACTCCGACGTACACCCTTCTTCGCACCCGTCGGAATTACTTAGCGAATCCCAGGATCCTTGGCGATACACCGCTCGCCGCGCCTCCATGTAACAAAATCAAACCCTTTCGGGGGTCTACCGAATAGACTCCGAAATTCGCGGTGGATTGGTGTAGGGGCTAAACCTTTCACTCTGGAGATCTGCTGGAGCACCCACAAATTTCCCTCCATTTTTTTTGTGTCTTCACCCCCCGACAATTTTGCTTGCCCCCGTTCACCCAGCATTCGCTTTTGTCGGATGAGGTATAACTCCTTGTTGCCCGCGATTTTTCTGACATTCGGTGAAGGCGCGAACGCTATCGTAGCCGGGTCATGTTATCGGATCAAACAGTCGGACCGGCCGCTTCGCTGCCCACCGCGTCTATCGCGTTTAAAACTCCTCAGCTTCGGAAATCCCTTCTTTGCCGCTACACCACCGGCGGGTAGACCGTTGAATCAGAGATACTCCGACAGCTGCACCAAGTGCTTCAGCTCCGACTTTTTCGGCGGGGTAACTGTTGCCGATGGTCCGGTTTTGTCGGGGCCGAAACAGTGTCGCTCCTTAAAGATTTCTTGTACGCCCAGCTGTCGAACTGGCGCAATACCCGCGCTTTTTAGCCAGCACAGGGCTAAACACAGAGCCCCAGCTTTGGATCCAGTGGCCAATAGGACTTACTCCTTGCCTTCGAGGCCTTCTGGGCGTGAGGTATGTGAAACGTCGGTAGACTTTGGCCGGTAGGGAGCTCCTTCTGCTACCGCCGCTTAGCCGCAAAACTCGGCCCTCAGCAAAAAGTCGTCGTAGTAGGTCGTTTTCGCCCCTCCTGAAGCTCGGAAACCGTTTCTCTCGCCAGACCCATATTTGTCGCAACTCCGTTTATTGGGACCGATAGACCAAGCGAAATTCGCGGGTCTAGACGCTGCGATAAACCGTTGTCCCGTCGGTGTACTGCCCTGTCTGCGGCGCAACTTCCCTTGATCAAGGGGAACCTGTGCCGCATGAAGTACAGTGTCGGCTGCTGCTGCTGCTCCGAAAATTTCGGCCGACCTTGTTGCAGGCGCAGAAGTGATCCTAACGTAGACAGTCTAGTCATAGGCGGCCTTTTCCGAAATTTTCGGCGGTTCGAAAATAACTTCCGTCCCACACTGTGCCGCACCTGCCGAAAACGCCTAAGACACACCCTCTTGTAGCCACACCGGCCACATCCAGGCGGAACGACGGTAGACCCCCACTTTCTTCGGGCAGTCGTCACGCCGTCTCTCCTCGCCGTTTGCATTTTCCGACGCAAATCACCATGCCCCTGGCCTGTCCGGCCAGCTGTCGTTTCTGCCGTGAAGCCACCCAAAATCTTCGAGCACAGTGACAATGCTCACAACGTGCCGAAGACCTCCATGATTCTCGTGCGCAACTTGACGAAAACGCCTGACGCCACTTGCCGGACGCATTAGCTCCGATTTCTTCGTGCGGAGTTGACGACCACGTGAAAACTTCAACTCGCACGACCAGCTGCTCCGAGAATCTCGCTCATGCAGTGACGACAGCCGTCCTGACGCCAGCTCCCGCAAAAAAACAGCGCCGAGATTAACGGAAAAGATGAAATTTACTCACGTAATTAAATGCGACGACAGCAAAAGCTGTCCGCCACCCGGGGGGAGGGAGGCCATGGTCCATCTCGACCGTCGAGGGCAAGGATCCGTCGGTGCAGCAAGAGCGCCCGTAAAAACATGGCCGCTAGGAGCAACTATTCGTTCTCCTGGCCGGCTACTGCGCTGCTCCTGTCACCACGGCACCCTTCCCTGTCCCCCCCCCCCCCCGAGGGGCAATACACTCTAAAAAGCAGGGAACCTAGGAACTTAGGCTCTGATACCAAGTGTTATGAGCTGTACTAAGAAGAGTGCGCGGAAGACTTTATAAAAAGGATGAGAGCTACAGAATGACGAGAATGATCAAGAGGCATGCATTTATAGGGTCGAAACCGTGGTAGGCGAGGACCTCGGGACGTGCGAGGCTTGGAAGTGTCGCGATTGGTGCGGGGCGACTCGGAAGTGGTTCGGGCCGAAGTGTAGGCCGAACTCAAACTGACGCAAACAGTTCGGGCTGTCCTCGCTAGAAGTAGCCTCTATAGTCTTGAATTCACATTCATTACACTTATGGGCAGTGTGTACTTTTTTGTTACACTGATAGAGCAGTGAAACATCAAGTTTTGAAAATTTTACCCTGCATCATCAGTGTGGTTTTTTTCCAAACACTGACAGATGTTCACAAAGTCCTAAACTATTACAGGTAACACCTAGGCTCGGTTTCGTGGCGTGCTGGAAAGGGAATCATTCCTGAGGGCGTGTGTCTTTTGGCGAAATGTGTCAAATTTCAAACATCAACCGCTTTGCACCGTAACGAAACATCTGTCGGAAAATATAATTTAATATTTTCTATATGTAACTGCCTGTAGGATTGGTTACTGTAGTTTGGCATTTTCCTATTTGGTGGTGCACCTTTCTTGGTTGTTCTCTCATATTTGTATCCTTGAACCTATAGTGAAACCCTCTTTTCTCTCGACATTCCTCCTCCAACTCGAACTCAACTTCCTTCCTCACTAGCTATGGCTCCTAAGCCTTGCTAAGAACTTTGATATGTTATCAGAGTGACCAAGGTCCTGACCTGTGGCCCACCCTACAGCTCCCGCTGCTAATCTGTGTTTGGCACGCCCCTTGACGTGCCCCTTGCCCTACGGCCCCGTCGCCTACCTGCGACCCTACGGCCCCGTCGCCTACTTGCGGCCCTACGGCCCCGTCTCCTACCTGCGGCCCTACGGCCCCGTCGCCTACCTGCCTACCCACGGCCCCGTCGCCTACATGCGGCCCCGGCCACGTCACCTACCTGCGGCCTCTGGCCCCTGTCGCCTACCTGCGGCCCCGTCCTCGTCGCCTACTTGCGGCCCCGGTCCCGTCGCCTACCTGCGGCCCCGTCGCCTACCTGCGGCCCCGACGCCTAACTACGGCCCCGTCGCCTACCTGCGGCCCTACGGCCCCGTCTCCTACCTGCGGCCCTACGGCCGCGTCGCCAACCTGGCTACCTGCGGCCCCGTTGCCTACCTGCGGCCCCGTCGCCTACCTACGGCTCCGTCGCCTACCTGCGGCCCCGGCCAAGTCACCTACCTGCGGCCTCTGGCCCCTGTCGCCTACCTGCGGCCCCAGCCTCGTCGCCTACTTGCGGCCCCGGCCCCGCTGCCTACCTGCGGCCCCGTCACCTACCTGCGGCCCCGTCACCTACCTACCGCCCTGTCGCCTACCTGCGGCCCCGCCCCCGTCACCTACTTGCGGCCTCTGGCCCCTATCGCCTACCTGCAGCCCCTGTCGCCTACCTGCGGCCCCTGTCGCCTACCTGTGGCCCCTGGCCCCTGTCGCCTACCTGCGGCCCCGGCCTCGTCGCCTACCTATGGCCCCGTCGCCACCTGCGGCCCCGCCCACCCTTGCGGCCCCGTCGCCCACTTCGGCCCCGATGCCACCTACGGCCCCGCCCACTTGCGGCCCCGACCCCGCCCCGGCCATGCCCCGTCGCCAGCCGCGGCACACCGGGGGCACGTGCACCGCCCCCCCTCCCTTTTCCCGTCACCTTTCGAGGCGACCTGGAAGGGGGGGGCAGGTGTCGCCCCCTCTGCCGCCTGCTTTGGCGCCCGGGGAGGCCCTGCGTCGCCCCCCCCCCCCCCCCTCCTCCTCCTTTTGTTCCCACTGTTGCAGCTGCCGCTAGGGGGTAGGGTGTGAGGGTGTGGGGGAGCCCGGGGAGTGGCACTAGGGTGGCGGGTGTGAGACCACCCAGCAGCCGTCCCTCCACCTCTCCTCTCTTCCCCCCCTCTGCTGCTCCTGCAGCAGTGTGTGGGGGAGGGGGAAGGGTAGGGGGAGGGGGAGGGTGAGGGGATGGAGTGGGAGACCAGCCAGCGCCAACCCGCCTCCTCCTTTCGTTCCCACTACTGCAGCTGCCGCTGGGGGGGAGGGTGGGAGGGTGTGAGGGTGTGGGGGAGCCGGAGGAGTGGTATTATTGAAACACTTATCTCCTCCTGCGCAATCGTGATGTACCCCTTCAGAGGGCGCTAACTGCATACTCATCTCCTACAGCCAGTTATGGGGGCGTGTCGGAAAATATAATTTAATATTTTCTATATGTAACTCCCTGAAGGATTGGTTACTGTAGTTATAGCGTTTTCCTATTTGGTGGTGCACCTTTCTTGCTTGTTCTCTCATATTTGTACCCTTGAACCTATAGTGAAACCCTCTTTTCTCTCGACATTCCTCCTCCAACTCGAACTCAACTTCCTTCCTCACTAGCTATGGCTCCTAAGCCTTGCTAAGAACTTTGATAACATCTCTCAATAGTATCGTAACGAGTAGTACCTCTCTAAATGTTCTAACTTATACACCAATTCGAACCCCTAGTGCACACGCCCTAATAGACCAATCGGACACGACACTGCGGCCACGCTCGTACTGCACGGAAAAAATCCTCGGTACTTGCATGATAATCAGAATTCACAATCTGGCAAATTTTGGGGAAGAGGGGGAGGGGGGGGGGGGGGGTCCCTGTACACTCTTCAGTGTAATCTTCGCAAAGGGAGAATGTGAAAGAAACTAGAACCAGGATGAATGAACTATGAATGAAGTTAGTACATATAGGAAACCCTGATTGGGTTGTACCCCCTATGGGATACCCCACTATAGCCTACACAAATATATAAGCTATAATGTTCTGACACACCCCCATAGGCAAAGTGGGGGAGAACAAGGGGTCACAAGACCAGTCAAGCAAAGCAAAGCAAAGCTCAGGGTGGATCACAAAGTCACCACACATTCCGAGCACAAGTTCAAAGGCCAGAAAGCCAGTTCACATGCAAGATCACATATATATATAAATATATACAAGAGGCTAAGCAAGCAAGAGCAAGAGTATATATATGTGACAGTACAAGCAAGGTCAAGAAGTGAGCAAGTGAGGCAAGACAGGCACAAGACCCAGCTGAGTGCAGAAGCGCTGATGATCACAAGGCGCAAGTGCCTTGGTGAAGACATCAGCAATGTTGGCCTCAGAGGCCACGTACGCAAGCCGCAACTGTCCACGCTGCTGTAGCTCACGAGCAAGAAAGTAGCGGAGAGCAATGTGCTTTGTTCTGTGTTCCAGTCGCTGCTCTCGACACAAGGCCAGCATGGCCTTATTGTCTACGTACAGGAATGGAGGAGAACGAGGCGGCTCTCCAAGGCCGGTCAGCAGGTAGGTGAGCCAGCGAAGCTCCTGGGCAGCCATAGCCCCGGCGTAGATCTCAGCCTCACAACTGGAGCCGAGAACAGAAGACGAGCGAGTAGCCCGCCACGAAACAGAGCCGGAACCAAGACTGAAAGTGTAACCCTGTGACGGCCGCTGCGTAGCCTGGTCGTCAGCCCAAGAGGCGTCCGCGTGCCCAGTGAGGACCACTGGACTCCGCCCTCCAAGCACTAGCCCCATGCCCGACGTACTGCACAAGTAGCGCAACACCCTCTTCGCTGCAGCCATGTGCTCTGGTCGGTGTCTCCCAGGAGCAACATAGCGTGCAAGAATGCTAAGAGGGTATGCAAGGTCAGGTCGTGTGCAGGTCATCAGGTACATGAGGCAGCCAACAAGCTCTGGGTACGGGCCACTCGACTCTACGGACTCATCCGAAGGCAGAGCTGAGAGCGAGTGACGAGTAGGCAGAGGAGTGGCCTGAGGCGAGGAGTACGCAAAGCCGAAGCGCTAAAGGACCTGCTGCACCATGTGTGACTGAGTCAGGGTAATGGTGCGGCGTGCTCTGTCCCGGGTGATCTGCAAACCAAGGTAGCTGCGCAGTTCACCCAGGTCAGTGCACGTGTGTCTCTTCTGCAGCTCGGACTTCACATAGGCGAGTCCAGCAGTGTCAGCTGTGGCAAAGACCAAGTCGTCGACGTACACGAGGATGTAGAACGGCGGCAGAGAGGTGTCGGTGCGCACAAACAGCGATGGGTCGGCAGTAGAAGGAGCAAACCCAAGTGCCATGTAGTCCTCAGTGTGTCGTGCCACTCACATGGCGCCTGGCGGAGACCGTAGACTGGACGCCGGAGACTCCACTGGGTACCAGGAGGGAACGACCCAGTGAAGCCAGGAGGGCGGCGCAGCCAGATCTCCTCGTGCAGGCTGCCCTGCAAGAAAGCGGTGCTGAAGTCGAGAGAGTGCAGCTCGTAGTCACGGTGAGCAGCAACGTGCAGCAGCACCCGAAGAGTGGTCATCTTTGGGGTAGGGGAGAAGGTCTGAAAGTAGTTAACTCCCTGCCGCTGACTGAAGCCACGAGCCACGTAACGCGCCTTGAAGACAAGCGGAGAACCCGGCGGCCGCTTCACCCTGAAGATCCACATGCCACTGACGATGTTCGCCCCAGGAGGGGGGACAGCGTCAACGTAGGTGCCTGTGGACTTCCAGGAAGCCATCTCTGCATCCATAGCTGCCTGCCACTGAGAGGAGTACGGACCCTCTATCGCCTCCGCGTAAGAGCGCGGAGTCGGGATGTCAAGTGCATCCGGGTCTCCCTCAGGGGTAAGCAGTACGGACACGAGATGAGGTGAAGCAGCGCCCAGACACTGGAACTCCTCCTGCCTGTCCTCAAGGACGTCCGTGCCAAGGGCACACTCACCCCCAACCGACGGAGGACAGACAGACTCTGACTCAGCGACAAGACTCGCAGCGTAGTCTAGGCGACAGCGAGCAGCAAAGTCGACGAGCTCAGTAACAAGGGCAGACGCAGCAGTAGACTCGAAAGAAGGGTCAGTGACGGCAGTAGCAAGGAGACGCGTGACAGTAGGACTGGCAGCACGAAGAGAGTCCGACTCCGGGTCGGCAAGAGCAGGAAGAGAGGACGCGGGAGGAGAAGGCAAAGGGGCACGCAGAGGAGCAGTGGACGGACGCAGAGACATCCGGTGCGTGCCAGGGACAGGAGGAGGACGCTGACGCGAACCGCAACCACTAGCGCGCGCAGCACGAACAGGTGACGCAGGACGAGACGCAGGCTCACGACGCTCAGTAAGACCTCCAGTAGGACCAGCGTAGGGAGAAGGAGCAGGCAAAGGGGAGGCAGGCTGTAGCTGTGACTGTGACTAGACAGGATGTGGACCCTCTAAGGGAGGAGGAGGAGGACCAGTAGAAGGTGTAAGACCAAGAATCTGCTGCAGGAGTGGAACGAAGTACGGACGAGGCCGCATGGCGACGCCAGAAACAGCAGGGACAGCACCAGGACCCCCAGCAGAAGTACCCGCTCCAGCAGCACCTCCAGCAGCTCCAGCACCTCCAGCAGCACCTCCAGCAGCTCCAGAACCTCTTGCAGCACCAGGAGCACCCCTAGCAGGACCGCCAGTGGTAGTCTCAGCGCCAACATCCTCAGCAGAACTAGCTCCAGTTGAACCTGCAGGCCCAGCAGCTCGAGTACTCCCAGGACGAGCACCTCCGGGACCCGAGACAGCAGCACCCTTAGTAGCCGACGAACCTCCAGCACCAGCAGCACGGCTCCAGCGCCAGGAAAACCACTCGCGTAGCTCCTGTGGAGAGAGTGGCTCCCGGTGAGACGAAGCACCCAGAGAACCTCCAGGCGGAGCACCTCCAAGCACAGCACCCCCAGGTCCAGCACCCCCGGGCAAAGCACCCCCAGGCTCAGCACCCCCATGCTCAGCACCCCCAAGGCCAGCACCCCCAGGCCCAGCACCCCTAGGCGTAGCACCCCCAGGATCAGCACCCCCAGGCTCAGCACCCGTAGGCTCAGCACCCCCAGTAGCCGAAGAACCTCCAGCACCAGCAGCACGGCTCCAGCGCCGGGCAAACCACTCGCGCAGCTCCTGTGGAGAGAGTGGCTCCCTGCGAGACAAAGCACCCGGAGAACCTCCAGGCGGAGCACCTCCACGCTCAGCACCCCCAAGCGTAGCACCCCCAGGCTCAACACCCCTAGGCTCAGTACCCCCAGGCTCAGCACCCTCAGCAGCACCAGAGTCACCAGTGACCTCGACAGGCTCGACTGCGTCTACCTGGGACACATCTGAAGGGGCAGGACCCTGAGGGGGGAGGGGGTCTACCTGGGGGGGACCTGGTACAAGGAAGAGCGGTTGCGGGGGGAGGGACGGAGTGCGGTAGGGGAAGAGGCGGTAGTAGGGGACCGACTCGTCAAACTTGACGTCCTGGGAGGACAGAACACGGCGAGAGGTGGGGTGGTAGAAATGCCACCCTGGCGCGTCAGGGGGGAACCCCAGGAAGACGCAAGGAGCAGCACGAGGGGACAGTTTGTCCGCAGACAAGTCGCGGACAAACGCCCGAGATCCCCAGACCCGGAACGTCGACGCATCGCCAACCTTCCCCGTCCACAGCAAGGCTGGGGAGGTCTCCGGCCTGGAGACCCTGGGGTGAAGGTTGATCTGATGCGCCGCGTACCTCACCGCAAACGGCCACAGAAAATGGGGGGCAGCCGCATGCATCATAGACGTACGAGCGACGTCCATGACCATGCCAATGCGGCGCTCAGCAATCCCATTTTGCTGCGGAGAGTCCGGAAGCGTGAAGTTCTGACGGATGCCCCGTGCGCGACAGTAGGCTCTCAAAAGGCCACAGGAAAACTCTCCGCCTCTGTCCGAGTGTAGACGCAGAACAGGAAAGTCCGAGCCAAAGCTCTGCCTGAGCTGGAGACGAGCTGCGCGGATCCAGTCGATCAGCACCTCAGTGACATCACCCTTGCTGCGCAAG